AATTCGTCGAGTACTATATACCTGTCACAACTCACGTTGATCGGATATCGGTAACTATATGATAAAATCAGTTAAAATTTATAAAATGGATGGTGTTATAGTTAACGGTTGAAAAAAAACTAATCTGATAAGATAGCTATCGATATCCGATCAATGTAATTTCTTACAAGCATATAGTACTCAATGAGTTCTACACATCGAATGGTTTTGATTAGCAAAACGGGACCCACGGTAGGCCCCTATAGGCCGAACAACACCTTCAATTCACTGCCCGAAAAGCAGAGAATCATCTCCCCCTCCCCCACTCTGCATTCCATCACAATCTTCTCCTACACACTTATTTATATAATTTTTTAATACATATTTTTTCATAAAAAGTTAAAAAGTTAACTCAAACATCCATATTTTTTTCTCAACTTTTTAATCCAAAAAAACAAAAAGTGCACTTATTTAGGACACCCCAAACAACCCCTAAGAATTGACTATTTTAATAATTTTTTAATTTTTTATGAAAAAATATGTTAAAAAATAAAAGTAATGGTATAAAAACTTATAATAACTTTTTAAACTTTTTTTTATTAAAATAACCTATTCACAAATGAAATTTTAGACCATGAACAAGCTTATGCACTATTTTAAAGGCGGGGGTTGGGCCAGCTTGATGTGGTCCATTTACTAGTGGGCTTATGCAGGGGTGGTCATGCGTTGGGACGGGTTGGGCTGGGTCGGCACTACATAATAAAAGATTGTCCCTGTCCAAGTCTGGCTCGGTCCGACCCTAACATCGAGTCTATATATCTGTCCAAGTTCGGCCCTCAAAAAAAATTATAAATCCCAAAATCTATCCATCAATTTTTTTAAAAAAAACATTTCATAATTAAATTCAATCATATATTATATTTCTTAAATAAATATATTAATATAATTATAGAGGATAATTTTTTTTAAGGTCCCTGAAGTTAAGATTTTATAAGATAAAGGACATACAATATTCTCATAGTCGTTAAGGTCCCTCAACATTTTCACAGAGAAAATTCGACATAGAGAAATTTCACCCTGACAAGAAAATTTCAATTTTTATAGAGAAATTTCTCTAAAATTTCTTTGATATGATCACAGAGAAATTTCATCGAGGGACCTTAGCTAATAAAAAAAATATTGAACTTCTCCTGCTACCCAAAGTTAGAGAGGTATATTTCACTAATTTTTCCTAAAATATTGAAAGATTTTGTGTGTAAATTAAATGATTTCTTAAATAAATTCAATTACACATCACCAAAAATGTGAATTTTAATAAAATCAATAAAGATAAAGTGTAGATCCCAACAAAATATATATATATTTTAGTGTATCATAATTTATTAATTAATTTGATAGTGGAATGGTTCTGGTTAGAATTATAAGGGAAATGCTAGAGAGTTCTAAATGTAGAGCTCTAATTTGAGCTCTAGTGATGTGTCAAAGCCAAAAAAAAAAAAACCAAAACAAGGCACAAACATCCCATCAGGGTGGGTCTTACCTTCCCATTAGAGCTATTAGAGCTCTTATATTAGAGCTCTAAAACATTTTTGAAATTATAAATCCCAAGCCCATTCCATTAATATATCGGGCTGAAAATGTTAACTCATCCCAACTCTATGAATTAAAATAATCATCCCAAACCTTAAAAAAATAAGACTAAGGGTTGGTTTGACAACCTTTTAAAAAGTTAAAAAGTCAAAAAGTTATCAAAAAAATTAAAAAATTATCACTATTCACAAAAAAAAAAATATTAAAAAAATAATATACAAATATTCATTCAAATCAATTTTCGGGCACTGACGTAATGAACTACTCATTGAAAGAAAGGAAAAAAAAAATTTCATGTGTGCCCCAAACTAAATTGGATGATAAAGTTCGGCCCGTGGGGGTCACCATGGGTCCCGTTTTGATAATCTGAACCGTTCAATATGTAGAACTCGTCTAGTACTACATGCCTGTAAAAAATCACGTCTATTGAATATCGCTAACTACATGATCAAATCAGTGTTGTATAAAAATGGATGGTGTTATAGTTAACAGTTAACAAAAAAAACTAACACGATCAGATAGTTATCGATATCCAATCAACGTGATTTATTATAAATATATAGTATTCGACGAATTCTACACATTAAACGGTTCCGATTAGAAAAATAGGACCCGTGATAGGCCCCACGCGCCAAACAAGACCATCCAATCAAAGCCCGAGAAGGAGATAATAATTTCTCATCCACTCCGCAGTCCACTCCACTGCTAGTCCGTACGGTCTCCTATACTATCTTCTCCTACACACTTCTTTATATAATTTTTTAATACATATTTTTTTATAAAAAGTCAAAAAATTAACCCAAATATTTATATTTTTTTCTCAACTTCTTAATCTAAAAAGATAAAAAATACACTTATTTAAGACACTCCAAACAATCTCTAAATTGGACAAGTTGGCAAACGAGCCGATACCACCCCTAAGCTTATCCCACAGTCACGTGTGGTCAAAAAGTAATCAACAAGAAACAAAAAGGGTTGAGGGCTCTACAAAAAAAGGGAGTTTTAATTGTGTATTTTTATCTTGTTACATAAGTAGAGCTCTTTTTAGAGCTCTAAAGAGAGCTCTACTATTAGGGTTTTATGTCAAAACTCAAAAAAAAAAAAAAAAAGAAATTCAGTACAAATTCGAGGCCTTTCAAAATAACTAAGAGAAACACTGGTTCCATCTTACATCACACCCTCTTTTATCCTTCTATTCTCTGTTCAATCATTGAATTATAACTTTAAAGAAAAATAAATAAATACATGTCCAGCCCAACAAATCAATCTCATTTGGTGGGTCATGGTGTGTCTTATGTTGTAATCCCATATCTTCTCTACCAAATTATAAGAGGAAAATGTTTTGATATCCTCTCTTCATGCCCAAATAAATGTGTATAATGATCAGCATAGGCAATCAAGTTGTCCCCAAGGTCACTTGTTGTGGCATATATGCCTTTGTCTCATAATTTAGGACAAAATTATGTAATTTATATCTATTAGGATGTGACAAAAAAACTGCTCCCAACCATAAACACAGCTATAAGTAGATAAAATTACTTTTTTTTTAAATTTTTTTTAAAATTTCATCTATATTACATGACTAAATTAAAATTACATATTACATAGTAAAAAAATAATTTAGGATAGAGAGACTAAAAAAAAAAAGAGAGGGTTAAATAGTACTTAGCTCTAAAAAAAGACAAGTGTAAAAATAAAATTTAAGCTTATAAACTTAATATATAATTTAGAACTGTGTCATGTGAATTGTGTTTGTGTCATGTTATTTAAAATTCATGTTAAAATTTTATCAACAGTAATTCAACCTATTTAGCTAACTATTATACTAACCCAATTTATTATTTATAAATATGTCAACTCAATTACAACCCGTGTGACACAATTAACATGCACAACTTATTTATTATGTATGTAATCTTTTTAATCGATTAATAAGGATAAATATATATTTCCAATGTAAAATAAGGTTAAAAACATATTTTCATATACATTTATAATGACCACGTTCATAAAAGCAACTTGAAAATTTTATGAGTGATCCACAAAAGTAGAATTTGAAAAAATCATAAAAATAGTCAAATAGCTATGTCTCAACCTTCATAAATAGCATAAACTAGAATGATTTCCAATAAAATGCTTAAACACTTTATCTAAAGCTTCACCTAATGTTAATTGGTTTTGGGTTTTTTTTTTTTAATAATTTTAATATTGTATTAGAGTTAATTTGGTCTTTGGTGGCCTTGTGGGTTAAGTCTCCGTTCCAAATGAAACATTGTTAAAATTTTGTCTTACAATAACTCTCTAAACTACACAAGCTTAATTAATATAACTTAAAAGCATCTCTACCTAATGTTAATTAGTTTGAAGTTGAATGTCTTTAATAATTCTAAAAATAGAAAACAAAAACATATTTTTAAAAAAACATAAAAAACTACAAAATAACTCATAATTGACCCAAAAATTGCTACGCCGCTTCATTCAAATAGATTAGTCGTGTCAAATTCAAATTACATTGGTTTGGCACTTACATATATTACTTTTTTTTGTTATTATTATATCATGTCAATAACTATAATCAATACTAATCCGTTAACTTTGTCTTATTTCAACACTTGAATTTTAAAATGATAAAATATTTTCTTATCAAGTGTGATGTACGGTTCTAGTTTTAATAATTGGGTTGCAATTTTCTCTTTCTATATTTTCCTACTATCGATTGTCCAAAAAAAAAAAAGTTTTCCAAGTAATACTAGAGATTTAAAAGCTTTCTTAATTAAAAAAAAAAAATTGACTCCTAAATTTACCTACTTGAGTTATAACTAACTAATTTCTAAACAAATCAACAACTGTCATTTAGGCCTCGCTTGGGAATTTAATTATTTTATTTGATTTTTAAGTTATTTTTGACTATTTTATGAGATGAAAAAAAAGTTGTGTTATTGATGATTTGTGATTTTTTTTATATTTGAATAGATAATTGTGAGAGAAAAATTGATAAATTAATATGTAAGATGTAATATTTTATTCTATTAATTATTTTAATTATTTTTATCTTTATTGAATATTTTAATCAAAATCCTTTATGCCCACCATTAAAATCATTTCAGAAGTAATAATGTTTTAAACTTCTTAAATGTTTTATAATTTTTTTCATTCAAAAAAATGATTTAAATTTTTTTTCTCATAACTTCCCATGTTTTTATTGGCCACTTCACCACACTACGAGCACTTCACCGGTATACTAGCCACGAACTCTCTCTCACGACAACGGCAACAATTGTATAGGCGTCACAGTAAATACCTCTCTCTGCACACACGCAACCGTTAAAAATAAATAAATAAATAAAAACCACCGATATTATCAGACTATCCACGAAACGACGCAGTCTCAACCTGCAACAGCCGGTAAAACCGACTCGTCATTCAGTCCTCAAGCACTGCACGTTACCGGCCGTTCCGGTTGCTTTATCTCATTACAGAAATCTGTCAGTATAAAAGTCTCTCCCCTCTTTTCTCTATCCACTTCATTCTCGTCGTCATCACCGGACTCCGTTGTTGTCCCCGTCGCCGTCGCCGATCTTCTTGTCTTCCCTATGTGAGTCCTCAATTTTCTACTCTGTTCGAAGATCTGATGATATTTGAATCGGTGTTTGATTTTGATTTTAATCTGTTTTGTTTGGTAGTGGATCTGATAGGTATGCGTGTATGTGATTTTTTGTTGAATCAATTGGTTTTTTTGGTGGTGTTGTTGAATTTTAATTTGGAGGATTAATAGGTTGGATATAATTGGGCCCGAGGGGTGGTCTGTTGATATTTTCTGTTTGGTTGCTGAGAAATCAAGTAGGGAATTATGAGTTTCTGAATCTTATTTTTTTAGGTTTTCTGTTTCATTTGTTGTTAAATAATGATTTGGAGGATTGCTGATTTAGGTTGGATATAATTTTGGTGGGGAGAGGAAAAGTGTTCTGTTGATATTTTCTGTTTGGAACGAAGATGTTGAATAATTGGAGGATTACTATGTAGGTTGGATATAATTGGGGGAAGGGGATGGAGAAGAACAGTGGTCTGTTGATATTTTTCTGGTTGGTTGGTGATAAATCAAGTTGGGAATACGAGTTTCTGAATCCTATAATTATAATTTGTTTTTATGTTTTCTTTGTTCAAACAAAGAGTTTCATTTGTTGTTTTTGAATAATAATATGGAGGATTACTGATATAGGTTGGATATAATTGGGTGGAGGGAGGAGAGGAACAGTGGTCTGTTGATATTTTCTGTTTGGTTGCTGAGAAATCAAATGGGGAATATGAGTTTTTGAATCCTATAATTATGGGTTCTTTTTAAATCTTTTTTTGGTTCAACAAAGACTTTCATTTGTTGTTGTTGAATAAAAAAATTTGGAGGATTACTGATGGTAAGTTGGATATAATCGGGTGGAGAAGGTGGGTGGGGGATTGGAGAGGAACAGATGGTCTGGTGATACGTTTGATATTTCTGTTTGGTTATTGAGAAATTAAGTAAGGAATATGGGGTTTTGTATCTTTTGATTACGTTGTTTTTATTTATTTATTTATAGAGAAGTGAAACCACAGCTTAAAAGTAGCGCATACTAATTCATTATAAGGCTTAATTGAGGGGAAATCTTTGTTCTTCTAGGTCCCCAAAGTGGGGAAAAGAAAAGAAAAAAATTCTGGGAGTCAAAATTCCAACCAAACAAATCTGACTAATATTTCATCATTATCATGTTTTAAAAATATGGCTCAAGTTAGTACTTGGGGAACAATTTTGCATGTATGCTTATTTGTATTGTTTGATGGATTATCAGAAAGCTAACATTAACTTTCAGCGATGGAAATTCTTTTCAATCCTGAAAAGGCTCTGTACTGTTTTAAATGAACTTAAATACGTTACTTGAGCTTTATTTTCAATTGGATAAAAGATGATATTCCTTCTTTGGAATTATTTATGTAGACGCATAAATAATTATGAAATTTGTGTTTTATTGGGAGTTTTCTTTTCCTACTGAGGTATGATTTTTTAATATTCTATATATTTTATATATATTTTTGGAGTCTACTTTATAACTCTTAGCTCCTTTTCTCTTTTGTTATGCGAATGTGAAGTATAGAAAACTTTGAACCCTGATAGATGGCTGATAATAATGAGGGAAAGGAAACTCCAACCCGTGGAAATGAATGGGAAGTTGTGTCGCTCACAGCATCAGCATATGCCGCTGCTCCTGGTCCGGAACAGGTTGAATTGAATGATAATGACAAGGGAAATGCACCTGAGGAGGATGAAGCTGAAACTTCACGTGTAATGTTTATGTCTGGTCACTTTGTCTTTCCACCTAGTCAGCATGAGAATTTGCCGGTGGAACCTGAAAATATTGAGATCCATAATGTACAGGGAATTGATGATAATGTTCCTGAATTGGGTGCTGATGAAGGAGGTAGATCAGATACAAAAGATGAAGAGAACTGGAGCATTAAAGGATTGGCCGTGCCAGATGAATTTCCTGGGATTCAGTGTTTTGATGAAAAGGATAACAGGCTATCCATCCATGGAACCAAGTTCGACGAAGGGACAACTTTGCAAGGGCTAGATTTTATTGAGAATGAGCAGAGTCTGCACAGTGCTTCTAAATTTAGTTCCTTCCACAGTGAAACAACCATGGGTGGATCAACCACATATTTTGATGACGCAGTCATTCCTGGACAAATTGAGCCCTCTGAGGGAGACCTAGATTCGGACATCTCACAATTGCCAAAGCCTGAGAAGGAAGATGAGTATGACAGCTCTGCACTGCCTTGTGAAGCTTGGTGGAAGAGGCGAGCTGCTTCTTTGTATGCTCATGCAAAAGAGACAAATGCATTTTGGTCTATTTTTATTGCTGCTGCAGTAATGGGCCTTGTAATTATTGGTCAGCGTTGGCAGCAAGAAAGGTGGCAGGTTTTGCAGCTTAAGTGGCAGTTCAACATCAGTGATGAGGTATGTCCGATACTTTTGTTTTTGTAGTTTAGTAGTGGTGAACTTATGCAGCTCTTTTCAGTAATTCATTTGGTTGATTTCAGTGAATCATTAGGATGAATTTAGAATATTGGTATGATGCTTATAAATATATTTGATTGCTTAACAATTTTAAAACTAGCCTTCTTACAGTTCAGGGGGAATGACCTAATCAATAATAAACACGGATGTGTGACATAGAAATGATAGACATGATACAAGTCGGGAAAACTGACAGCATATCCTAAAAAAAGTAAGACACACAATATGTCAAGGACGGGACATATCAATTGTATAACTTTCGATTAATGTTTTAGTTTATTTTAAGAATTTCGTTATGTGGGTCTGAGATTGACAAGTATGCTTTGCTTATTCTAGTAAGTATAATATGACTACTTCCTCAATATCTTTTGCTTTTACATCCTCATTTTCCAGTATCTGTTGTTTGCTTGACTTGTGTTCACTACTATAATGTCAAGTCTTCAAGCAGAGGAAAACATGTCCGTTAATTTTGACACTATAAACATGTCCAGTAGGTGTTGGACACTTGTCTTCTGGGGGTGTCCAGTTGTCCATGAAATGTTGGTGTCCAACTTAGATGTGTATATCACGTGTTTACCTTTTATAGTCTAAGGTAATGGCATCTTTGATAAATGAATTTTTGAAAATGGTTTATCTTGTTTAAACTCCACGAGTCCCTAGGATGTTGAGATGGGAGACATGTGGTAGGCAGTATTTGAATAGAGAATGTTGTGTTGAGCCATTGTCTCCCAAGAAGAATTCCTAGGGATAGGGGGATGAGGGGCAGATGGTGAAATTTAGGTGGATATCAAAGCATTGGAGAACACATCAATATCCCTTATGCCGCAACTCCCCCTCCCATTTTACTTTTTCCCCTCCCCTTCTTAGTTAGAAATGTAAGACAAACTTGTCTTTGTATTTTTACTACTTCAAATCCTTGTACATCAGCCCCATTAAAGTACTATAAGGTCTTTGAAATAGTTTAGATCATCCAAGCAAGCCTTGTGAAATGTGCAGGCATCAGGTCTAGTGCTAACATGCCTCTGCAGATTCATAGTTTTCTTTCTTTATTTTCTTTTTAAGTTTTATTTAAAGAATTTGTACATTCAAACTTGTTAATATAGTTTGTACAATATGTTTCTCATATTTACTCTGTTCTGTGATGTTATTTTTTGCTTTGAAAGTATCTTTGAAATCATTGTTCTGTGTTTGGTAAGTGGGTTTGTAGGCTTTTTTGGCTATTTTAGCCACAAAAAACAAAACAGGCTATTTTAGTCATAACAAACAAAACATCACATCCAACCCATAATCATTACATTCTTCTCTCACAAAAAAACTCAAAAAAGCTAAAAAGCCAAAAAGGCCTTCCCAAACCAAGCTTTTAAGCCCAGGCTAAAATAGCCAAAAAAGCCAAAAAGCCAACCCACTTCCCAAACGGATTTGTGCTTTAACATTCTGATGGATTGGAGAAACATAAGGATCTGTTTGGTTGTGTTTTTTGTTTTCTCTATTTTTGTTTTTTCATGTTTTCAAAAACAAAAACAATGAAAAGTTCCGAAACACATTATTGTTTTTTATTTATTTTCAGAAAATGAAAACAGAAAATAGAAAACGAAAGCATAACTAAATTGGTCCTAACTGACTTTTGTTGCTGACTTTATATGGTCAACCCCCAATTAAGAAATGGTTGTTGCACTAGTAGAGAAAATGAGTGAGTTGTGACATTAGTTTAGTTATTCATATTATCTCTGCCCTTCCAGTGACACGACTGTGTTCTGAGTACTTTCAGAATTATTCTTTCATTTGCAAAAAGTTCATTGAGAATGTCTTGGTTTTCACCTCAATTGCATACCTTTTTGTCTATCAATCGAGTGCTACTTTGTAATTGTGGCGATGAGATTATTTCTTGTTGAATCATTTACCCATGCTGCATGTGCATTTTTTTTCCCTTCTAAGTATTTAAATACGTCACTATTATGCAACCTTGACATTTCTTTGCTTGCCATATGGACAGAAGATGGGCAGGATGCTGGGTCCCATATCTCGTTTCAAAGATGTGATTGTGGGTGGAAGCAGGCGGGGTTCCTCTATCCGGGGAACCTCCTCAAGCCAGCGTTAAGATGCTTCTCAACCCCAGCATTAAGGTGATGATGACGAAAATATGAGAGGCAGAGTGACTGAGATAGAGAGAGACAGGTGTATAATTTGGTGGGTTTGCTTTGTGATTCACCTACTGTTCTCATGATGAGAAGCTACAGGGTTACAGTGTGTTAATATTTGGTTATTGTTAATGATGCTAGTATTGTTTTGGTTATGGGATATATGCTAGCTTGTTGAAAGATTGGGAAGTGGATATTACATTTTGATTCTTGTATTACCAATGCGACTTTCCCTAAATGGCCAAAAGGGAAACGCCGGCTAAGGTGCTGTCGCTTTGGATTCCCTTGCCTGCCCCCTTTCGGACCGACCTTTTACATTAATTTCAAATTATGATGACGTGTTAGCATTAGGACATAGAAGGGGGGACAGATGATCTGTGATCGGAAGCAGGTGTGGTCAGTGTCGTTTAACCGACATATTAACTAATCGATTACTATAAATTGGATTAGATTTTATAGAATCTGTGTCAAAATTGAGGAATTCTATGGCTTTGATTTTTAGTATATGCTTTTATTATTTAGACAATGAAACCGAATGGCAGTGAGAAAGAGGTGCCACTAAAAAAATGAGAAATAACATATCAGTGTAGGTTTAGAAAGAAAAAAAAAAGTACAGATCAATGATAAAGTTTTATAATATTTTTTGAAAGTTTAAACTGAATTTTATTTATTTATTTTTTAAAAATGAAAATTTTCTATTCAATATAGGGGCAAAATTAGGCTAACAAAAAATACATATTAACTTAACCAAAATATGTATATATATATATTTGATAACTAGATGCTTCAGTCAGTTTGAATGCACTTTGACTAATTTTAGAATCATAAAGTTAATGATCGAGCAACCTTTCAGTGGCCTCTTAGGAGTAACTCGAACTTGAGACCTTGGATTTATACTCAACTATTTACTGCTCATCTAATTTCTTGGAGTTACATATATAACATCATTTTACTACGTATGTCCTGTCTAAAGTAGTCTAAACCATCTGTAGAATGAAGCAGCATTCACAATTTGTTGCTGCTGGAATTGATAGAATTGCTCAATCTTGCCATTTCCTAACTCATATACCCCATAGTCATGACTGTGTGAGTTACTATCACCTACCCACAAATCATCCACGAAATAGATACAGTTGGGCCTATAAATGTTGCCTGCATCGACAAACACCGAATCATTGTGAGCCAAGAGAAGGGCTTGATCACCAAAAGTATTCATCACCTCTTCCCAAACACCCTCACTCCAATCAAACTTGTAAACCTCAAGAAACTTAGTCATGCATGACTCAACATGTCTCACCACCATCAATAGCTCGCCGGAAGGTGACTTTGCCAAGTACCGCCATGGAGTGCTTCTGTTCGAGCCTGTGGCCATGGCTGACACCTCCTCCTCAATATAGGGATCAGCATACTTCAATCGCTTAAGCGTGCCATGCTTATCGATGGCATAGAGTTCTCCATTGTAATATATCATGTCGTCGATGCACCAACTCATATCGATAAGGGTCTTCCACCATTCTCTGTCTCCTGGTTTGCAAATGCAGCCATTGTGTGAACCCAAGTGATCATAGAGAACTAAAACAGAGCAACCGGGATCATCAGGGCTGCAGGATGTCACGAACCTAAGCGGTGTAGGGTAGTCTCTCTCCGGCAGAGATGGAAGTTGGACATGAACTCTTGAGACAGGGTTATAGAGATATACTGTACATGGGTCTTCAATGTCTGCCATGAGTAGCCATCCATGATAGGAAGAGAGACAGCGGGTTCGAGCGAGGGTGTTGGGTGAGTGAATACTGTAGACCTTGCTTGCACTCACCAGTTTAGCATACTCTTTGGATATGGTTTGTTTAGGAGGAAGCAATAGCAATGGAGGAATTGTTATGTTGTTGCATACCTTCTTGGCTGCAGATCTCCATGAATGACAGACGGTTCGGCATCGGAGAAGATCAAAGAAGTCGGTCAGGTCCTCAAAGATGATCTCAAGTAGATCATCATGGAGGTCAGACCAGAGTCTACTTGAGGAAGCCATTGAAAGAGAGCGAGTTGAGTTGTGACGGGAACAAACAAGAGATGTTGGGAAGCTCTTAAATAGAAGGGGTGAAGAGTCCTTTATGGAATAAGTAATGCTAAGGGCATGTTTGATTGGAGGGATTAAAGCATGGGATTGGGATTATTAATCCGTGGGCCCAATTATCCTATGTTTGTTTTGACACTTTGGTTTAGGATTATTAATCCAATGGATAATTAATCCAACAAATTTGTAGGATTATTAGTAATGGGGTAGGGGTGGGATAGTTAACACCACACTAATTTGATAGGATTATTAATACTTCACTAATAGTGAAGTGAATCAAACATGACCTAAGAGTACAGAAGACCAAATACATGTCGGGTTTGGAATTACCATTCAGAGTTTGTTTCAAATTAGCACTCTCTGGGCAGATTTTCCCCTCCTTTTAGGATTGGGATTGGTATTGGTATTGGTATTGACATCCCTTTTGCCTTGCAGCCATGTGAAATAGTTTTAGAAGCCAACAAAACTAATAAGTGACATGTAACATTGATGTGATTCTCTCAATTTATTACGGTGTGAGAAATTTGATGGGCAGAATAATGTGATTTTTTTATTTGTCTTTTTAAAAAAAAAAAAAATTGACTACTATTTTCAAAATAATAGTGGTTCATTTTTTGAAAATAAATGTGATAAAAATCATGCTACTATGATTATTAGATTAATATAATTTTGTTATCGATGATCAATACATTTAGTTTTACAAAATGAACAATTTAAACCATTAGAATTAGACCCGTGATAGAGTTCACATCCCCAGCTGATCAAAACTGAACCTCTGTCCAATTGGAAAGAAGGGGTTCCTATTATTCGATGCAATGAATCACCAAAAGCTCAAAAGGCTAAGCTTTCGTTTGACAATGACTTTTTTAGTTGGCTTTTTGATTTTTTTAACTTTTTTAGCTTGAAACTTTTTTGTTCGTTTGGTATTCTTGATTGGCTTTTTTGGCTTTTTAGCTTTGGAATGGTGGATTTTTTTGTCCTTTTGTGATTTTTGACTTTTTTATTTTATTTTATTTTATCATTTTGTGATTATTTAACCCAATATGAAAACCAAACAGTCCCTAAACCAGTTGAATTAGAGAACTCAACTAAGATCGTCAAGTTTGAAAATAGACCTTGCATTTTTTTAAAGATATCGATTGGATTTAATTTGAAAAATTAGAATCCGTTAACAAATACTCATTCCACTAATCTAATAAAGTTTGATTTTAAGTAATCCAATGATTAGATTCAGATAAATCTAATTCACTTATTGAAAAATTGGATGTCTATAAATCCATTTACACCACATTTTGATTTTTTGTGTTAGCCTTGCGGCTTTTGCCAAATGGCGGAAGGGAAGACACGGTAATGCAGTCACTTCTGATACGCTATTCTCCTCTCAACTTTTTTAATACTTAAACGTTGCATTAATTTCAAATTGTGACGACATGTTAGCATTAGGACATAAAAGGGAGACATGATCATAAGGCAGTATAAGCGGTATGAATACAATTAATTTATATATTAATAGATTAACTAATTAGTATTAAGATGTCGCTAAAATTCCAAAGTTGCATTAATTTTAAATTGTCACAATGTGTTAGCATTAGGACATAAAAAGGTAGACAATATAAATATATATTAATATGTATTAATTGAGAGTTATTTTTATAGTCATTATAAATACACCTAATCTATATTTTATAACTAATCCATTACAATAAATTGAATTAGATTTTGCAATTTTTACTTTTTGTACCATCTCCTCGCAAAATATATATATATATATATATATTTTTTTTTTTTGATATGTGAGGTATCCACAAATTGATAGATTTTGCAGCTTTTTACGGTTGTACTGTCTCCTCATAAAAGTTTTTTGGACAAATTACAAACATCCTCTTGAGATTTGATAAAAATACAGATTTTTTCTTAAGATTTAAGAAATTATAAATTGTCCTTTGAAAGTCAAATTTTCATAATAAATTAGGAAAAATTAGGAGAAATCTATATGAAAATAAAAACTTCATGGGTCAATTTGTTATGGAAATATAAATCTCAGGGAACGAGATGTAATTTTTCAAACCTCAAGGAGGAATCTGTCTTTTCACCAAATCTCGAGGGGGGTGTTTGTAAATTGCCCAAATTTTTTTCTTTTTTTGAGACGTAGAGTATCCATAAATTGAATTAGATTTTGCAGTTTTTACTTTTATACTATCTCCTCATAAAAGTATCTTTTTTTGGCCCCATAAGTTCACCTTTGTCTTCAGAAATAGAATAGAGAGAGTTGATAATGAAAAAATTAAATAAAATTATGTTTATTTTGGTGATAGTTGTTACTATCGAAATTGTTAAATTATTACTCTATAAAAGAAATATAAAATATTAAAATAAATAAAATTATAATTTTTACTTAACAAAAAATATAAAAATATTAAACATTAATGTTAAAAAAAAAATGCCCAAAATGAAAAAATAAATAAATAAGCTGAAAGACTAATTTTCTAATACCACCTTCACCTCCTCCATCTCAATCCCAACACCAAGGCCTATCATAATCTCATGAAATTATGAATTCCCTCTTCATCTCCTAAAACAAACACAGTATATAGTGGATCCCACTTCTAACTCAATTTCATTCCCATCTATATTTTGCAAAACAAACAATGCCTTAGAAGAAGTAAACCTTAAGTCTTAGTCCTCACCCACCAAGCCCACATTTGGATTATCATACAAGTATCTTGTGTTAGAGAAATTGTTTACTATTTAAGCAAAATACCATCGTTTCGACATTTTAGAGAAATTGTCTACTATTTAAACAAAATACCATCGTTTGGACTTTTTCCAGCGGAAAGTGATGAGGAAAGATATGTAAATAAAAAATAAAAAATAAAAACAAACAATTCACTATATAGGGGAAATCATGCTAACATATATAAAAGAAAAATACTTAAAACATCGTATTCACTGATCAAAAATTCAAAAATTCAAAAAAAAAAAAAAAAATACAAAAAATTACAAAATACAAAACTTCATCCAAAAAAAGAAAACAAGAAAATATATATTCCCTTTCTAAAGTAGATTAAACCATCTATAGAATGAATCACCACAATCTGTCCCAACTGATAGACATTTTTAATCTTACGATTTTTTAATCTATGCATTTAGACTTACAAAATGAACAACTTGAATCATCAAAATCAAATTCATGATATGCCAAACTAAACAAAGCTGAACCTCTCTCCAGTTGGAAAGAAGGGGTTTGTATTGTTCGATACAATATATTGCCAAAAGCTCTAAAGACAAAACCAATTGAATTAGAAGGGTTAAAACCGATTGAATTAGAAGGGTCTGTATTATTCGATACAATATATTGCCAAAAGCTCTAAAGAAAAAATCAATTGAATTAGAGAACTCAACTAGAATTATCGATTTTGAAAATAGACCTTGCGTTCTTTTAAGGATACTAATCAAATTTAATTAGAATTTGATCTGAAAAATCAAAATTCGTTAACGAATACTTGATCTGCTAATCTAATAAAATTTGAATTGATTGATCCAATTATTGTTAGATCGGATTCAGCTAAATCTAATCCAATTATTGAAAGATTGGATGTGTGCAATGTGCATGAATCCAGTTACACCACATTTTGATTTTTTGCGTTAGCCTTGTGGCTTTTGCCAAATGACAGAATGGGAGACATAGTGGTGCAGTCGCTTCTGATACGTTATTCTTCTCATCTTACCTTTTTTAGTATTGAAATACTGCTAAAATTCAAAAATTACATTAATTTCAAATTGTGACAACGTGTTAGCATTAGGACATAAAAGGGAGACATATGATCATAAAGTCGGTATGGCCGTTGTGACAATGTAGAAATACCGTTAATCTACATGTGAACTAATCAATTATAATAAATTGAACAAAATTTTACAGTTTTTACTATTGTAATATCTGCTCGTAAAAGTATCTTGTGCTAACTTGTGTCAAAATTGAGAAGTTCTATTGGTTAGATTTTTAGTATTCTTTAATTTATTACTCGTGTTTACTATATAAATAGAATACTATCATTCATTTTCATAATTTTTTTTCCCCCCAAAAAGTGAAGAAAAATTATATGTAAATAAATAGGGATAAAATCAGTTAACTATAGAGAGGAAATCATGCTTATATATAAAAGAAAAACGTACATAATATATCTTATTCAAATCAAAATTTAAAAAAAAAAACAAAAATGCAAAACTTCATATTAACTGATATCCAAAAGAAGAAAATACGACAATATAAAAATTATATATATTCCCTTTCTAATGTAGATTAAACCATCTGTAGAATGAAGCATCAGACACCATCTTCTCCAAGTCATAGATCTTTTCAATCATATGATTTCCCAACTAACAAACTCCATAGTCATAAGTTTGTGAGTTATGATCACCTACCCAAAAATCATCCACAAAATAGATACAATTAGGCTTGTATAGATTACAAACATGGAGAAACATGGAATCATTGTGCTCTAAAAGAAGGGCTCGATCTCCAAAGTTATTAACCTCTTCCCAAACACCCTTTCTCCAATTTAATTTAAAGGCCTCGAACGACACGGTGGTTGTCAATGACATAACTTGTCTCACCACCATGACCAAATTCCCAGAATCTGACTCTACCAAGTATA